CCAAAAGTAATGGAACAGAATAATAATCATAAATCAAACTTTCACTTTTTAATACTTGGTTGCAAATATTTTGCAGTCAATTACAGCCTGAAGTCTGGAACACATAGACATCACCAGACGCTGGGTTTTATCCCTGGTGATGCTCTGCCAAGCATCTACTGCAACTGTCTTCAGTTCCTGCTTGTTCTTGGGGCATTTTCCCCTCAGTTTTGTCTTCAGCAAGTGAAATGCATGCTCAATCGGATTCAGGTCAGGTGATTGACTTGGCCATTGCATAACATTCCACTTCTTTCCCTTAAAAAACTCTTTGGTTGCTTTTGCAGTATGCTTTGGGTCATTGTCCATCTGCACTGTGAAGCAGCATCCAATGAGTTCTGAAGCATTTGGCTGAATATGAGCAGATAATATTGCCCAAAACACTTCAGAATTCATCCTGCTGCTTTTGTCAGCAGTCACATCATCAATAAATACAAGAGAACCAGTTCCATTGGCAGCCATACATGCCCACGCCATGACACTACCACCACCATGCTTCACTGATGAGGTGGTATGCTTAGGATCATGAGCAGTTCCTTTCCTTCTCCATACTCTTCTCTTCCCATCACTCTGGTACAAGTTGATCTTGGTCTCATCTGTCCATAGGATGATGTTCCAGAACTGTGAAGGATTTTTTAGATGTTGTTTGGCAAACTGTAATCTGGCCTTCCTGTTTTTGAGGCTCACCAGTGGTTTACATCTTGTGGTGAACCCTCTGTATTCACTCTGTGTCAAAGTCAACAATCAAGAGAAGACGTCACCACACATACACCTACCTGTTGTGAAGGGTGTTTTCTTCACCAGGGAAAGAATTCTTCGGTCATCCACCACAGTTGTTTTCCATGGTCTTCCGGGTCTTTTGGTGTTGCTGAGCTCACCGGTGCGTTCCTTCTTTTTAAGAATGTTCCAAACAGTTGTTTTGGCCACGCCTAATGTTTTTTCTATCTCTCTGATGGGTTTGTTTTGTTTTTTCAGCCTAATGATGGCTTGCTTCACTAATAGTGACAGCTCTTTGGATCTCATCTTGAGAGTTGACAGCAACAAATTCCAAATGCAAATAGCACGCTTGAAATGAACTCTGGACCTTTATCTGCTCATTGTAATTAGGATAATGAGGGAATAACACACACCTGGCCATGGAACAGCTGAGAAGCCAATTGTCCCATTACTTTTGGTCCCTTAGCAAGTGGGAGGCACATATGCAAACTCAAATTAAAGCTGACAGTCTGCAGTTAAAGCACATCCAGTTTGTTTCATTTGAAATCCATTGTGGCAGTGTATAGAGCCAAAAATGTTAGAATTGTGTCGATGTCCCAATATTTATGGACCTGACTGTAAGAAGGAGGGGCTGGCACGTGGAAGCAGGGGAATTGAGATAAGTGAGTGAGGGTTGCGGCTGCTGCCAGAGAAGGGAGATTGCTGCTTCTGTGGGTGGGAGTTTGATGGTGAAGGGCCAGGGTTTGGAGCGATGTCTCCGGAGGTTAGTAGTAGGAGGCTGAGGCAGGTGATGTAGGAGCTGGATTTATATGAGGGCAAATGCCGCAGTGATTTTGGAGCAGTGACATTATGTGGGCTAAGAGAGCAGGAGATATGTGCAATGATATTGAGAGGGCAGAAGTGAGGGTGATCTGTACAGGTTGTGAGGTGGGGAGGAGGGGTAAAGAAAAGAGATTTTGAGGATAGAGGGCATTATAGCAAAAAAGAAAGTTATTAAGAGCATATTGGAGAGTGAGTCGAAATAAAAAAGGAAGGCTAGAGGAGAGAGCACTTGCAGGCTACTTGGGGTGGAGCAGTAATGTTTGTACTTGCCTTAGTTAAAGTGCCATGTTCTAAGTGCCATGTACTTAGCGCTGGAATGGCCAGCCTGTTCCCTAACAAAATCATTGGATTCAGGTGTTCCAAATACCTCCATGGTTACAGGTGTATAAAATCAAGCACCTGGACATGCAGACTGCTTCTACAATTATTTGTGAAAGAATGGGTCGCTGTCAGGAGCTCAGTGAATTCAAGAGTGGTACCGTGATAGATTGCCACCTGTGCCATAAGTCCATCTGTGAAATTTCATTGCTACTAAATATTCCTCGATCAACTGTTAGTGGTATTATAACAAAGTGTAAGCAACTGGGAACAACAGCAACTCAGCCACAAAGTGGTAGGCCATGTAAAATGACAGCAGATTCAATGCCTGCTGCGCAAAAGTCACCAACTGTTAGCATAGTCAGTAGCTAAAGACCGCCAAGCTTCATGTGGCCTTCAGATCAGCACAGCAAGAGTGCATATGGAGCTTCATGGAATGGGTTTCCATGGCTGAGCAGCTGCATCCAAGCCTTACATCACCAAGTGCAATGCAAAGCATCATATGCAGTGTTGTAAAGCACATCATCACTGGACTCTAGAGCAGTGGAGACGTGTTCTCTGGAGTGACAAATCATGCTTCTCTGTCTGACAATCCAGAGGACATGTCTGGGTTTGGCAGTTGCCAGAAAGAGTGGTACTTGCCTGATTGCATTGGACGGGGGGATTATGGTGTGAGGTTGTTTTCAGGGGTTGGGCACTGAAGGGAACTTTTAAGGCATCAGCATACCAAGACATTTTGGACAATTTCATGCTCCCAACATGTGGGAACAGTTTGGGGATAGCCCCTTCCTGTGCACCAGTGCAGAAAGCAAGGTCCATAAAGACATGAATGAGCTAGTTTGGGGTGGAGGAACATGAATTTTATAATAATGTGTACTTGTGAGCTACTATGGTGATATAAAAAAATGTTTATAAATAGCTAACTCCTAAAAGTGTGATGGTGCATCAACACAAAAACACATACTCATGATACTGTGTGAAAATAGACAAATAAAATATTAAATGTGTCGCGCTCCACTACTCAAAAGTATTTACAATACTCTCCCCTTCAAACGTGCATAATATGGACTTCTATACTAGTTGATAGTAAATAATATAAATAAATAAAATAAATAAATAAATCTAAATAAATATTAATCCATAGTGGTATAATTTAAAATTAAAACACCCCTTGTGCTGTAATTAATTATAATACAATACTGCTAAATTAATAAAATTGATAAATCTATTCAAATTCTATGTGCGTGATATTAAAATTAATCAAATCAGATAAACAAAAAACCTCCATGCATAGTAATATATATGTGCAAAACATATATGTGCAAAAATGCAAAATACACAAAACAATTTTAAAAATAATAAATAATAAAAGGAACCTCTATTTAATCTTACTGTGCAAATGGTATAGTGTGCTCACCTCACTTATACAGCCTAAATCAGTGAGTAGAGCTATATACTAATTGTCCTTAACTTAGATGAAATATAAACGTCCCAATCTGTATATAAAAATATATGGAAAATATATTGCTGTTGAAGTGGACTGTAATGTTACTTTCCTTCCACTAGGTGGCCTCCCAATTTCTTCTGGGTTATGAGGGCTGGATGGATAGATATGGATATCTCCCCTCGTCCTGTGGGGGTCTATCTCCTATCTCCTCTTCTTCCCTTTTGCTCCTCCAATTTAGGCCATGAAAAAGAAAGATTCCCACATAGTGCTTTATCCTTTACAAAAGATTTTAATTTGTCTCCGGTAAAATGCGAACTCACATTCCACAAAGCAATACAGAGCGTTTTTCAATGTGTGCCCTTGCACAATAACAGTACTCGCCGTTCTGCTGAAAGTGGCGTCGTGACGTCAGAGCCCCTCCTTTACGCGTTACGCCACAGGGTCACGTGGCTTCCTCAGGGGGATACAATCAGCACTATGTGGGAATCTTTCTTTTTCATGGCCTAAATTGGAGGAGCAAAAGGGAAGAAGAGGAGATAGGAGATAGACCCCCACAGGACGAGGGGAGAATTCCGTATCTATCCATCCAGCCCTCATAACCCAGAAGAAATTGGGAGGCACCTAGTGGAAGGAAAGTAACATTACAGTCCACTTCAACAGCAATATATTTTCCATATATTTTTATATACAGATTGGGACATTTATATTTCATCTAAGTTAAGGACAATTAGTATATAGCTCTACTCACTGATTTAGGCTGTATAAGTGAGGTGAGCACACTATACCATTTGCACAGTAAGATTAAATAGAGGTTCCTTTTATTATTTATTATTTTTAAAATTGTTTTGTGTATTTTGCATTTTTGCACATATATGTTTTGCACATATATATTACTATGCATGGAGGTTTTTTGTTTATCTGATTTGATTAATTTTAATATCACGCACATAGAATTTGAATAGATTTATCAATTTTATTAATTTAGCAGTATTGTATTATAATTAATTACAGCACAAGGGGTGTTTTAATTTTAAATTATACCACTATGGATTAATATTTATTTAGATTTATTTATTTATATTATTTACTATCAACTAAGTATAGAAGTCCATATTATGCACGTTTGAAGGGGAGAGTATTGTAAATACTTTTGAGTAGTGGAGCGCGACACATTTAATATTTTATTTGGGTGGAGGAACATGACTGGCCTGCTAGGAGTCCTGAGCTCAACCTGATAGAACACCTTTGGGATGAATTAGAGCTGACATTGCAAGCCAAGCCTTCTCGTCCGACATCAGTGCCTGACCTCACAAATGCGCTTCTGGAAGAATGGTCAAACATTCCCATAGACACACTCCTAAACCTTGTGGACAGACTTCCCAGAAGAGTTGAAACTATTATAGCTGCAAAGGGTGAGCCAACTCAATATTGAACCCTACGGACTGAGACTTGGATGGCATTAAAGTTCATGTGCGTTTAAAAGCAGGCGTCCCAATACTTTTGGCAATAAGCGCGTGTTTATGTGTGTGTGTGTGTGTATATGTGTGTATATATATGTGTGTGTGTGTATGTATATATATATATATATATATATATATATTAATTTTTTTTAATACTGTAAAACATAGCGAAATAAGCACTTATCATTGTGTTACTTTAGATGTTGGAGCCCGAATCACCGACACCTGTGTGCTGTGTACTACAATAAAAATCCTGGCTTTGAGGTGATACATGGCCTGCTGGACCGGATAATGCAGTTATTGGCAGTGTGTCCCAGCACAGAGAAAGGATACCATATCAAGGCTGCAGAAGGTAGGATCCCATTCTGATTCTACATTGATATTTAAAAAATATTAAGTGGCAAAATATACATGAATATAGGAGCAGCCAAGTGTCTTTGGCTAATTTACTATATAAATATCAGAAATATGGACGTGCATTATAAAAAAAAAAAATCTCTGACATAATAGAAAAGATGTTGCAGTAAGATGAAGAATGATTTAATTTGTATGTCTAGCTTTTTCAAATTTTGGATAGAGTGGGGAAGGTTTAATACCTCTCTTAGGTTTTTACTGCTATCTAGGGCTTTAATAGAGATCTATCTCCTCACTTTTTGATCTGCTGACAACAGTCTCACTAGACAGGAATTGAGGATAAAGCTCCAGCTGTAGCACAGCAGAAATAATAACACTTTTTGTAGAGTAGGGGAAGGCTAGAACCCCTGTCAGTTTTTATTAGCTTTCTCTGTTTTGCAAAACTTGTTGTAACTGGAAAGGGAGGGAAACTCTTTCTGAGAGGGGCTCTAATGCTTTCCCTTTCTAATCTGCACCTCTCTAGTCCATGCTCATTGACAGCACAACTCAAACCTTTCCAGCCAGCAAAAGTCAGCCCTTTAAAAGTTTTTGTAATGGCAGAGGCTTTGCATGAGCTCCCTGGTGATGTGACCACTGTTATTGGCTGTCACATTGGTCACGGGATTGGGAGTCTACCCCATGTGCTCCTGATCATAACCAGTGACCGGAAGCAGTCAGTGACCATGTGGTCACTATGTCCAGGGCACTGAGTGGTCAGAACTCCCAGTACAAACAAGAGACGCTGGTTATAGGCATATATGTGGCAGCTCTCTTAAAGCATACTGCTGTGCTGCCACACATAAGGCAAACCGCCAATAAATAAGTCAAAGAGCATAAAATAGATAAAGGCTCTTCTGCTCCAGAGGGACCTGAGTTTTTTCCTGGGTCACCAATGAATTGCTAAGGCGAAGTGGCCGTGTGCAGGTCTTAATAGCTTGACTTCTTCTACTTGCCTTGCTGTCAGAAACTTGTGGACTGGAATAACAGGACCTGTTCCCACTTATACATTGTTATTCAGATGTCTTGCTGCAGATAAATGCAATTCATTATTTCTATAAAGCATGTTCACCTCATTGTACTTCAGTACAGCACTAAACATTTCAGCAGGTTGCATTGTTCGCAATAATATAAATTAATAGAGGCCTGGACTCAAACAGTTATGATTTACTATGTTATAAGGAACAATTGTGCATGCAGTGGCCTGAAAATGGACCTTTTTATATTGAATTCCTCCTGAAAAATAGTAGTGAATTTCCTGGTATGTGAGTGTGCCTAGACACTCCTGTGCTTACAGCCTCATAGCTGTATATCTGCAGTTTGAGATTAAAGCTGGCCTTACAGTGACTGAAATTTGTCCGGTTCAGGAGGGAGCAGCTGAATTTACCTCTTGAAAGAAGTTGATTTTTTTTTTGTCGACTTCTCTTGACTGGACAAGTTGAAAAATTTTCCTCAGTTAGAGGCTGCAGCCACAGGGGGTGCCACTGTCAGAATACAATGTCCTGACCGAATGAATTAAAAAAACCTACAGTGCATGGCCAGCTTTAGTTATTGCTGCCCCTGACTGCTAATCTTCAGAGAATTGGTGATATCACTATCGCGCTGCTTACTGTTCTCCCTACTGGATGCTCTGACATGAAGAAACAAACTCCTGCCTCTACGGGATGGCCGTCTCCACACAGCGACACAACAAGAACAAAGTAAGTCAGCAGTAGGGAAAGATTTTCTAAAGCAAGACCACAGTCAATAATGGTGACTAGTCCTTTGCCTTCTACCACCTTATTTTGGCCACAGCTTTCAGAGATCAGTTTCTCTCTCTGTTTTCCTTCTGAAATAGATGGTAAATGCACAAAAATGCATGTATCTTGTATTTTCATCGGATTTTCTATGGAGATTTTCCATTCCTCCGTGTTTTTGCACCTGTTTTGCACCATATAACAAGCATTCTATGTTGAGCAAATATTACCAAGAAGATACCTTTAATATATGAAAAGCACATGTAGTAGCACAACTCATAGGAGTCTATTTATAAAACATTCACTGTGTGGATGTCTTAATCAGGGCTTTTTTTTTTCTTTTTTTTAAGAAAATAGGTGCCATGACCCTCAGATTCCCCTTCCCCTATTCACACACACACCCTCTAAACTCCATCAAATAGTGGATGTGGTCAAATTTTCACTAACAGTAGGAGGGTCTTAAAAGGACATTAAATACCAGGAGTGCATTAGATACAGAGTGCAGAGTTTGGGGGGATTACACACAGTGCAGAGGTCAGGCGTGCACTGCATACAGAGTGCAGAGTTCAGGCATGCACTGCATACAGAGTGCAGAGTTCAGGCATGCACTGCATACAGAGTGCAGAGTTCGGCCTCCTTCCACAGCTGCTTACCTCTGCATTCCCCGTCCCCATCTCACTCTTACCCCTCTTCAGCTCTGATCCCTGAATGCACCCCCCACCCTCCACTCCCCCCATCTCTCCCCCCTCCTCCTTAAAAGCTCCACCATCTTCCACATATCTTTCTTTTATTTCTGTATTGAGCTGACGCACCCAGCCGATTCTTGTACCTGCACACTGTAGGAGGCTCCACATCTCTCACTTGTAGGGAGATAATCCATTGGGGGTGTTGGCATTCGCACTGCACCCCGGGGACCTGCATCTCCCTTGTCCTCATGAGCACTCAGTGGGGGCTGCTCAGGAGATTTGTGGAAGCCGTTGGGGGACAAGCTGTCACTTGTAAAAACAGAAGCCAGACTTCTGTGTTTACAAGTGATAGTGGTGAGCAGGGAGCAGAAGGTCTGAGCCACAGGTGGTGAAACTGTGCCCTGGTCTTAACTATTTGCATAAGCACTACAAAGGTTTGCTGTATTGTTGGTTATATAATAATTCCCTATGATCTTCTGCTGCATTATGCAGCATTTATCCTGAAAAACATTTAAAAAAAATACTGCATATGAGCCACTAGATGGAGCTGATGATCATAGCAGGTAATTATATTACACACAATACAGCAAACATTCTTGGTGCATGTGTGAATGAAACAGCAAATGTTTTATATATAGACCCCTTACTGTGTTACTGCATGTATATTTTTTTCACCAAATTACATGTTTACTAAAATTGCACTAGGGATAGTGTGGAGTGGTTGTAAACAGAGACCTGAAAGAATTTAATCTGTCAGAACAATACTATTTATCAGCAATTATGTGATGTGACTTACCTTAACAACCCAATCCAATGATATCAACTTGTAATGAAAAAAAAGGAGGCTTCCACTGTTAACCTCTCCTTTGGCAAATGCTAATAACATGGCTGCCATGCTGATTCAGAAGCTTCAATTCAATTATACTAATAAAAAATAAAAATAAAAAAAGTGTGATATCTGTTTCTACTGTAAAAGATTGTAGATATAGAGCTATATTTATGTGTTGTATTAATTTCATAAGTAGTACTGTATTTAAATGATGTTTTATCTGTCAGTATGTGTTCTGTATACATGTTCAATACTTCTAAATTGGCATATATGATATACTGTACATCATTTTGTACAAAATCCGTTTTTAATATGTTTTGGCAAGCTGTCCTGATGTATGTGTTTTTTTTTTTTAACCACTTGAGTACAAGTCTGTATAGTTTATTACCATTTTTCAGTTTTGAGTGCTGCAATAGGTTGACAATTACTCATCATGCAACACAGTACCCAAATAAATTTTATGTCTTTTTTTTTTAGACAATTTTTTTAGTGGTGTTTAATAATCACTTTATTTTTTACTAAAAAATTTGGTTTGTTTACATTTCTTTAATGTCTTCCCACTGGCTGTACGCATATATGTGGCTTTTCGGCAGTTGGACTTTAATGCTGAGAGGCCGCATATATGCTTCGCAAAAATAAACATTTTAGTGTTGAAAGCGCATGCCTTGCATGCTCCCATCAGTTACTGCCTACTTGTGATTGGGAGCTTTCTGATCATATGACCGGTCTGACTGCCAATTGCAGTGGTCACTTGATCGGAATGTCCACTTATGCCTCCCTGCATACAGAATCTCTTAAAGGGCCAGGAGGTGGTAAAAAAAAAATGTTCCACAATATTTGGTGGTCGGTGGCATTTTAACACCCTCTCCCCCTCCCCAGTGACAGTACTTTCTATTGTAGGTTGAAAACACATATCCAATGCCTGCCAGCAGCAGCATTTTCAGCCATTGTCATGTGTGCTCTTTCACTTGGCAATTCTTTTGTCATTCAGTGTGATGCAATTTTCAGCTCATTCATTTGAATGGGCTGAATTGCATTGGATGCAGCAAAAGCAGTGCATGCACTACTGTTAAAAATGCTCTGTAACCGGATCACATGGCAATGCAGTACCATGCGATCCGGTGCAGGGAAATGCACTGCGTTTGGGGTACCGCCAGATGGCAGCACAGTGGCTAAGTGGTTTGCACTTTCTTCTGGCAGCACTAGGGTCGACGGTCAAATCCCAACCACGGTACAACCTGCCTGGCGTTTGTTCTCTCTGTGCTTACTTGGGTTTCCTTCAGGTACTCAGGTTTCCTTTCACACTTCAAAGACATGCTGGTAGGTTAATTGGCTCCCATATAAATTGGCCCTAGTAAGTGTATGTGTGAATGTGCATTAGAGACCTTAGACTATATGCCCCTTGAGGGCAGGGGCTGATGTGAATGTGTAATAAATATGTAAAGCGCCGCATAAACTGAGCCACTATATAAGTACCTGTAATAAATAATCTATTGACACCCGCAGCAGATCTCACACCCAGTGCGTTTGGAACGCAGTGTGGAAAATTGACACAGAACGCAGGTTTCCTGCACCGTGTTTTGGTTTGAACAAGCTCATAGGGTTGTTCAGACCTTAAGCTACCCATAGATGGCTGATGTCGCCTCAAAAAAATGAAGGTCAAGGGGCCGTCTGCCTTAGTGCCAGTTCCAATTAACAATTAATTGGGTAT